TTAAAAATAGATCTGTGACAAATATAGCAAAATGTCTATATATTGCTATTATACAGCTTAATGTGTGTTGGGCAATAGTTGAAGTGGTTTATATATTGTAACTAATTATAATAAAAACCACATGATAACCCTATGGGGTAATATATTTATTAATCCTATTTTGGGGTAAAGAAACTGAGGCACAGAGAGACAATGGGTCACATTGCCTTTAAGTGATGGAGCTAGATATGAACTCAGGCAGATTGGGTTCAGAGTCCATGCTCTTGACCACTAGAGATTGCTACAGTCCTACCTCTCCATGTATTATGTCTTGGTAGTGGGCACAAAGACATATTGGGAGATGATACAGTAAACCAGGCTCCCCCACAAAATAGGACTGAGCTATAGTAGCAGTTATGAGGATGGACAGACCAGGAAAAATTTCAGAAAGATATCAAGTAGGTGAAACCAGTAGAACAGGCTACCTTATTGGATATCAGTGACTGATGGAGGGGAAGGAGTCAAGGATGACTTCTACAGTTTTGCTTGGTAGCTGAGTGGTTGGTTGTGTCCTTTTCTGAGTTAAGAAATCTATTACATTTGAAATGCAAGTGAAACATCCACATGGGAAAGTCCAGTAGGCATTTTTACGTAACAGTTTGATTTCAGAAAAGAGATTTGAACTACAGATAGAAATCTGGGAGTTTTCAGTTAACAAAGTCACCCAGAAAAACAATACAGAGAGAAAGAGAAGGACAGCCAAAGCTGGATCCCTGGGCATGATCAACATTTGAGAGCTGGTCTGAGAAACAGAAGCCTAGGAAAGGGATAAAGAAGGACAGGTAAGAAAAATGGGGAAAAAACTGAAAAGACTAATGTCGAAGGAGCTAGGGAAGGAGAAAGTTTTGATAAGGAGAGTGTGGTTAATAATGTAAAATCTTAGGAAAGATTATGTAAAATAATGACTGAAAAGTGTGCAGTCAGAGTAACAGTAGAGACCAATGGTGACCTTGCTGATAGCAGTTTATATGAGTGAAGGGGACAGAAGCCAGACGAGCAACTTTGAGAATAAATGGTAGTTAAGAAGAAAGAGATGTCAATCACTGGGAACTTTCCAAAAGGCTCACATGGGAAGAAATCAGAGAGGTTCTGTGATAGTTAAAGGTTATATATATTTCAAAGAGGGAGTGCGTTGAGCAAGTTTTAATGCAGTAGGAAGAATCAGTGGAAAGGGGGTTGTTGAAGATAAAGGAGAAGCAAAGACCCTGGGGTACTGGACATTTTCGTAAACCTACACAAATGCTTTGAAGAAGACTTACCAATCACCTTGACGTGGAAAGTACAGCTGGCTTGGTTGCCGGATAGGTCAACTGCTGTGTATGTGATAGCAACATCTCCAATTGGGAAAAGGTAAGGTGGGGTAAAAGCTGGGTGAACCTGGATTGACACCTTTTGGAGATAAATAAACATTTTGAAAGTTAATATCAAAAGTACATTGATGCCTTACACTCTGAAACTGTTTCATCTAAAAAAAGTACATGATTCTTTTTTGATTTGTATATTATTAATAAAGGAATGCTAACAATGATATAATATTTCATATAGAGGAAAGGAAAAAATATTAGGCACAGCCTTCTGGTGTATTTCTTTCCAGATTATTCCATTCACATACTTTATAGAGTTGGCATACATATAAAGTGTTCCTTGTTTTTTAAACAATATTTTAAAACATTTTTATGCACTCTTATAGTCTTTAGAACTTAAGATGACTCTTAAATATTTCCATAATGTTCTGTAGAACAAATATATGATAGTTTCTTTAAGAAAAATGTGTTGAAGGACATTAGTTTGATCCCAAATTTTACTGTTGTAAACGGCTCCAGGATGGACAGTTTTGCAATAGCAGGTTGCATCCTTCTCACTTTACATTTCTCCAGCCCTTCTCACAGCATCTGTCTCTAAACAGACTTAGGAAAAGTAGTTATCTTTCAAAGACTCAAGTGATTAAGTTGGGTTTAGTTGGATAATCCTTCCATCTCAAAATCCTTCGTTTAATCACATCTGCAGGGTCCTTTTGCCATGTAAGGAAACGTATCCGTAGGTTCCAGGGAGTAGGGCAAGGATATCTTTAGAGTGGCCATTATTCTGCTTATCACACCAGCCCTGACCCCAGAGAAGCCAGAAACAAAGTTAGGGAAGGTATAGAATGAATAAAAGAGCATCAGGCCAGGTCTCAGCTGCAGAGGAAAAGAACTTTGAAGTTGATACATGATACAAGTTTTATTTATATAGCAAGACTCTTCTTTTTAATCCCTGAGAGTGGGTTTTAATTATGGAAAGAAAACTATTGGTATACCCCAGAGTAACCAAAGCCTGTGACTATAGAAAAATAGTTATTTTCTATTGGTGCCTTTCCTAATTTGGACTGTTCAAGATGAATTACACAATTATAGTTTTGATCACATCGTACATATAATCGAGCATCCTAATTTTCCACCAAGAAATTTCCCTTTTTGAAAATTGTCTTAGGTAGGGAATAATCAGAGATAAAGACAAAGGCTTAGTACAAGGATGTTCATGGCAGCGTCATGAGTTCTTTCCTTCCTTTGTTTTTCTTACTCTGCTTTGGCTTCATGATCTATTATTACAACAAACTTTTTCTTCTTCTTCTTTTGGCCAATAGTCTAAACTGCCTTGCTTCTCTGTCTTTTGTTTTTCCCTCCAATCCTCTATATTTTAGAGATGCTCAATAATCTACTTTTTTTATGCCTGTACCAGAGAATCACTACATTTGGAGAAATTCATACAACAGTGCAGATTAATCTCTCTATAAATTTATGATCACCAAACTCAAATGGGCCCCCAACACTAGCCTATAATCATACTGTATTTCTCTGGTCTGCTCTCTCTCCTCCTCAGAATGAGCTTTTCAAAACCTCTCCATTCTCCGCAAACTTCAAAACTCTCTCACTCCTCCAATTATGCTTTGGGTCTGACCACTTTCTGATGAGAAGCCATACACAATGGATTGTCTCCTCTTTCCCTCCTATATCAACTTCTCCATCTCAACTGGCTCTTTTAATTTCTATTTTTATTCTTTTAAGCACATTCAAGTTCTTCCCCCATGTGGTAGGCTGAATAATGGTCCCCCAAAGATGTCTGTGTCCTAATCCCTGGAACCTGTGTATATGTTACCTTACATGGCAAAATAGATCTAGTAGATATGACTACATTAAGAATCTAAAAATGGGAGGTTACCGTGAATTGTCCAGGTGGGCTCAGTGTAACCACAGGGGTCCTTATAAGAGGGAGGCAGGAAGGTCAGAGTGAAAAGAAGAAGATGTGGTGGGGAAAGCACAGGCCAGAGCAGTACAGCCATGGCCCAAGGAACACAGTGGCCTCTAGAAGGTGAAAAAGGAGGGAACAGAGTCTCCCCAGAGCCTCCAGAATGAACAAACACATGACTTCAGGGTCTCTGCCCAGCTGCCCAGGAATGATACCAGTGCACCTGGTCTACACCCTCTCCCCTCTCCTTGGCCTAAAGTTAAGAATATTTTCTAAGTCTGGCATCTCCTACTCCACAGAATAAGGTGAATTCTAAGTTGATTCTCAGCATCTTCCTTCAATCTGTTCCCCCACTTTTACATTCCCTTAATGATGTCCATCAGGATTGAGGGCTGGTGGACTTAGATGGCAACTCATTTCTCTCAGAAATCTTCCCGATTATAGTGGCTTTGATTTGCAAATGGTTTTAATCATTTAATCCATCTACTAGAACATTTGCTTTGTTCATTTCTTCCCCATGATCTTAGAGAAAAAGAAAACCATCAAATGAAAATGCCCCTCAACCTCTTATCATCACCCAATTTAGTAGCTTAACTGTATCAATACCCTTCTTTCCTCTGTTTTCCCCACAATGATACATAAAAGACATTACTGTCCTCAAGTCTAACTGTGCAGTACATGGAAGTCCATAAACTAGAGTATGCACTGCCTCCTTAGAACATCCTGCCTCCCTATCCACTCCTACTATACGTGCAGAGCTTTTCTAAAAGGACTACACATTCTGGGATGCAATGTATTATAGCAAATTCTCCATATTCTTCCAGGTATATTGTGTTGCAAACATTGAAATATGTGAGTAGGGTAACAAAAAGCAAATTACGGGGTTGGGGAATTGCAGGTCAGGCAATGGATATAATTTGGGCTGCATGAGTTGTGCAAAAGGACAGAATGCAAAGAGGAGGTCCTCGTTGAGAGAAACACAGACAACCCTGGACAGTTCAGTACTTGGTTGTCTTGCACCAGGGAATGGCAGCCTACTGTATAAGTTCTTGCAGCCTTTGAGGCCCTGACTAAGGGCAGGCGGAGGAAATGAAGAAATGTTTGCTGCTTCCTACTTGATGGTGGTTAGGTGTCTTTTTTCAGACAATGTACACACACGTGCTACATTTAGGGTGAATTCTCATCGGATCCTGAAATATGTCCCTGGACTTTTCTTAGTGTTTGATGATGATGATGATGATGATGATGCATGTTTTTATGGCCCTTTTAGTGGAAAGTGGAAACGTCACACATGACAGACTGCTCATCACACATATACCTACAATATACTAAGCCCTAGAAGTTGCATTTGCACTTTTAAAATAAAATTTAAAAGCTAATTTGACTGTAAGTTATTTTTTGTGTGGTGCTCTCCCCACTCCCCATCTCCAATACATCCTGGCCAGCCAGTGGCACAACTTACACATCATTTACATGCAGGTGTGAAAACAATATACTACTTAAGGGCACTTGCATGTATGTTAATACTAACAACGTGGATGTAAGTGAAAGTGAAATTCCTAAATGAACTCTTTTCCTAGCATCTCATGAATGATTATCTCAAGCTGCTATACATTCAAAAGTAAAATATTGTGTTCTGAATTATGCTGGATTTAGAAAAACTTGAATAAGAAACACCAATGCTATTTCCTTCAGATTGGCCAATATATAATCATTTTGGGCTCATATTTTAAAAGATTTGTTCATAAATAGGAATTAGGATTGGCTGGGCGCAGTGGCTCATGCCTGTAATCCTAGCACTCTGGGAGGCCAAGGTGGGAGGATCACTTGAACTCAGGAGTTCGAGACCAGCCTGAGCAAGAGCGAGACCCCCATCTCTACTAAAAATAGAAAAATTAGCTAGGTGTCACGGCAGGAGGATTGCTTGAGCCCAGGAATTTGAGGTTGCAGCGAGCTACGATGACACCACTGTACTCTACTCAGGGTGACAGGGTAAGAGTCTGTCTCCCCCTGAAAAAAAAAAAAAAAAAAGAAAAGAAATTGAATCCCCTTCCTCTCTCCCTAAAAAAGGAATTAGGATTAATTCCACATCTTTTTGTTTCTTATAGATCTTCGGAGCCTAGTAAGGAGCAAAGAATTCTTAGTCAAGTAATCTCAGTAAATACAACAATACAACAAATCCATGAAATGAGAAGTTTCTGTTTTTTGAGATTTTGGTCAGAGATTTCTAATTAAAAACTCAAGGACGATCATTCTTCTATCAGATGAGGCATTATTGTTTATGAGTAAAGTTTGTGTATAGAGAGAATTATCATTAGTACATTAGTAACTCTTTAATATTGTACATATTTGCATATATTTAGAATCTACTTGAAAAAGGATGTAAATATTTGCACAAACCTTACCTTTTCACCAGAGTTGTCTTTAGCTGTAGGGACTTGCCAGGTAATATTAGCAGAATCTTGCTGTTCCTGAGTCTTAGCTTCTATGTCCTTAGGGCAGGTGATTTGAGGAGCCTCCACATCTGACTCAGAAAATACACAAATCAATTAATATACTGATATGTTAAATAATTCTAAGCCATTTAAGAAAGAGGTAAAAATATGCTTATATTAGTACTTTGTGACTCATTTTGTACACTGATTGATTTGGAGTGTGAAACTGCCTTCCCGATAATTTCTCCGAACATGGCTTACAAGGTCCTTTCTGAATTGACACCTGCTGACCTCTTAGCCTCATTCCTTACAATTCTCCTCTTGGGGCTCACTCTCCACACTGAATTACTATGAGGCCCATGAAAACTCCATGGGCTTTCTTTACCTGGGCCTTTGCTCATGCTTTTTTTTTTTTTTTATTTCAGCATATTATGGGGGTACAGATGTTTAGGTTACGTATGTTGCCTTTGCCCCTCCACCCCACCAAGTTCGAGTTTCAAATATGTCCATCCTTCGGGTGGTGCGCATTGCACTCTTTGTGTAT